AAAACATTTTTATAAATTGAAAGAAAAGATATCTGAAGAATAAAACATGTTTATTCGGTGGTTACTAATAACGCACTTACTCGAATCTAAATTCTTTTATTTAAATAGAGTAAACGATTGCGAAAATATTTTACGAAAATATACACTGTAAAAACCGATGTGTTAAATTTAGCACATTTCATGTGTCCCAAATCATCCACTCTCATTTATGTGTAAATTTAACACAAAACGAATGTGTTAAAAAGTAACACATGGAATAATATGGAAAAAATTAACACAAGAATTTAACACTTGAATACCGTTAGGAATCACAGGTTGTGTTAAATTGACATATTTAATGTGTCAGACATAGATTGTGTCAATTTAACATTTTTATTTCATCAGAACCATAGATTAATACTTCTTTCAAATTAACGTTTCATTTTAGTTAATTTAACATTATACATATTACTTAATTTAACACAAATTATGATTCCTGACGGTATTCAAGTGTTAAATTCTTGTGTTAATTTTTTATATATTATGCGTGTTATTTTTTACCACATTTGTTTTGTATTAAATTTAATATAAATGAGAGTGGATAATTTGGGACACATGAAATGTTAAATTTAACACATCAGCTTTTATAGTGTACATTTATTTTATTTTGGAAACATTTTATACTGATATAAATAAATGTTATTAGTATTTTCACCGAGTAAGTGTTTTCTATTTCTTCTAGATACTTTTCTCTCTTTTCAGTGTATGGGTAAGTTAAAGCAAATTAATTAAAATTTAACCATTACAAAAGTGGAAAGCGTTAAGTACGACGGTTGCGTGTTTCTTGAAAACAATTCAGCTGTCTCAGTATAATCCTGAAGTTGCAAGATATAATTTATTATGTGACTGGATATATCCTTCGTTCTCTCTTTATTATTTTCCGCTGATGTTTCTGGCTTATTCACGAATTAATTTCACCGTTTGCATTTCGATCTCCGCGCATATTTCATCAAATCGCGCCGTAATCTCGCGGAGGAACGGGCGCCCAAAATATCTTTCAGCAAATATTAATCCAAATATTAACCCGAAATCTCCGCGTTGTTCGTTCTGCCCTCAACTGCCATATATTGCACAATGCCAAGAAATTTCCGTGGTTGTCGTGACTTTCAAGCTTGCAGCAATTCACGTCCACTACGACGAGCGTCAGTCTGCTCGCGCGACTGTTATGTGAATAAACTAAATTGCATATTCTATCAAAACAACAACGTATACATGTCGGGTTTGCGACAAACAATATTAAGCGTCGCTAACGAGAAATCGTACGCTCGCGCTCGCGTCGAGACCGCGACAAAATTCATCGCACGTAAAAAACAATTGTAATTACTGCGTGCACTTTGCATTTCTTCTGATCTTTTGGCGATTTCAAGCCGATAATACTGCAATAAAGATGCAGCGCCGCAGATAGTAGCCGTGAGCAGTTACTAAAAATATAATACTGAGGATCTGCGGGCTTCGAATTGAGTTTCAAGGAGACACGTAGATTGCTTTAACGGAATTTGTAGTTGAGGATTATTTATGGTCCGCAAGTGTGAGCAAGGTTCCATGCCGACCTAAGGGAATCCATTAAAGTTTGCCAGGTAGGTAGGAGTGTGCATAATAGTATTCGATCTAAAGTCAGCGCGCAAGTCGCAACGATTGGAGTTGAGATGCGAAAGTGCTTTGTGATTTATTCACGCAAGTCTTGGATCTTACAATTCAGAAGCCACTGTGGCTCCCAAAATGATACCTTTGCATTCGAATTTTCAGCTTTAAGCTCCGACATACGTCGTGAAAGTATCGTATGCTAGTTTTGAGACACCCAGTGTATGTAATATTTCGTTCTAATCTTAATTAGTTGCATTCAGTGCCGATTGTAACAATGTTCGCTGATTGTTATGATCATCCCAGCTGGAGTCTCAGAAAAATAAGGGAGAATTGGGCAAACAAGATTTTATTATCTCTACATTCAGTGACGTGTAATGGAGAAGCGACGGTGAGTTCTACGAAATTGCGGATGAAAGACGAGGAGATTGGACTAATTAACCTGTTGGTGCCCGAGAAGACACATCTACAGACCTAACTCCGATATGTTAACGCTAAAACACTAAAAGCGATTGTTTTTTCGATGTGAGTATTTTATCTTTCAATTTAACCATTCTATATTCCGAAAGTCGAAGTTTCGATCCTACTTTCGATATTCCTACTTTGATATTCTGAAACCTATATCATCGACGAGGTACTATAAAAGACTGTCGGCCTTACGGGCTTTAGCGACCCCGAGAAATCTGACCGTATATTTTTATATTTTACTTTTTCTTATATCCTATATTCTTACTGTTATCATATTTACATCGTCTTGTCTCTTTCTACGTCTGTCAATATGATTTTTTTTTCTACGTCTGTCAATACGATTTCAGCACAATGCTCCGTCCAGTACTACCAGGTATGTAAATATAAAACCGGAATTTTTGTATAGAAAATACACGTTTATTGTATGAAAATGATAAAAAATATTTTATTCGAAGTATTACCCATCGCTAGCTATACATTTTTCCCATCTGTCTGACAATTTGTGGATGCCACGCCAAAAAAACTGTTGCTCTTTTGAGGCAAACCAGTCATCGAGCCATTTTCGTACATTTTCGTAAGAAGTAAAGCGCTGCTTAGCAAGTGCGTGTCCCATCGATGCAAATAAATAGTAATCGGACGGAGTCAAGTCTGGTGAGTAAGCCGCATGCGAAAGTATTTCCCAACTAAACGCCTCAATCGTTTCCTTGACCAGTTTTGCTGTGTGTGATGGTGCATTATCATGAAGCAAAATCACTTTGTGTTGCCTTTTTTTATATTCTGGTCGTTTTTCACGCAAAGCTTGATTCAAATCGATCATTTGTTGTCGGTAGCGTTTAGTATTAACGGTTTGGCCAGGTTTTAGCAGCTCATAATAGATCACACCCTTCTGATCCCACCAAACACAGAGCATTGTCTTCCGTCCATAGCGATTTGGCCTTGCAGTCGATGTCGATGGTTCGCCTGGAGTTACCCATGATCTTTTACGCTTAGGATTCTCAAAATATATCCACTTTTCATCGCCAGTCACAATTCGATGGAGAAATGACTTTCTTTTGTACCTGGCGAGCAGTATTTCGCAAGTGGTTTTTTGGTTTTCCTGCTGTCTTTCATTCAATTCATGTGGAACTCATTTTTCCATCTTCTGGATCTTTCCTATGGCTTTCAAACGTATGGAGACGGCTTCTCGTGTCACATTTAATTGATCCGTGAGTTGTTGTTGCGTTTGAGTGTCATCTTCATCTAACAATGCTTGCAATTCGCTGTCTTCAAACTTTTTCGGTGGTCTTCCACGTTCTTCGTTTCTCACGTCAAAATCGCCACTTTTGAATTTTTTAAACGACTTAATGCACTGTGATTTACCAAGAGCATGTTCACTGTAAGCTTCGACAAGCATTCGATGCGATTCTGCAGCGAGTTTCTTCAAATGGTAACAGAAAATCAATGCCCGCAATCGCAAATCGTAGTTTCCAGGCACAAAATTCGACATGTTCAACGCTATTACAAAGTATGCTGTTGTATGAAACTTGTATTGTTGTGAGTTGAAAATCTTTGTCAGAGATGTCAACGAGCCAATGACGCGGTTTGACGGTAACTACATTGACAGCTACGGCCATCTATGGGCAAATTCCGGTTTCATATTTACAGACCTGGTATATGTCGATGGTGTATTCTTACGAAAAAAATACGAAAAAACTCTCAATTTTGGGTGTAAACATCCAAAAACTGGAGATAAACACCTAAATTTGAGTGTTAACACCCAAAATTGAGGATTTTTTTCGTAAAGGTAGTCACACAAACAGACAGAAGCATCTTTGTGTGAAAAACGGTCGGTATTGTCATCGTTCTTCATTTACCTCCAGGCCCCTCCGGACCCTTTGACAGGGTCGAAAATTTATCCAGGGCTGACAGTCTTTAATAATATTTCGTCGGTGCCTATATCAACCCTCTGCTGAAAACGTGAAGTTACGGAACATATCCAGCAACGTGTGTTTGGAGTCGGATCCGACCCCAATGTTGTCAGCAGAAGATTAAATCCTTTGATTTTATTTAACCTGCTATCTTTGTAGCATTTTGTGCGTTTTCTATCGTATAGAGGCGCTAAGTAGAACTTCAACTTCCATGTGTATCAAACATACACTAATCCTGCAAAAATATAGAAATCTTCAGATGTTAAAAAGTTTAATTTGGAGGTAGAGCTAAAATTTCGACCAGGTGCACCTAAATTTTCAATTTAATCTTCATGAATATGAAGATTACGAGAAAGAAAAATTTAGCTTACTTTTACTGTTTTACAATCGAATTTTATTTGTTTTCACGAACACGAAATGAAAAATCTTCTCTGTAGCCTCCAATTACGAGTGTTGGTCAGCTAGTTGATAGCTTATTGTTGTTTTCGAATTATTTTTATTTATAAAGATTGCTTTTAGAGAGGATAAGAACACGATAGAAACTCGAAATATTACATTCATGAGACCCCACGATACTCCTGACACTTGGCCTACCTCATCGGCAGGGCCAACCGTGTACAAAGGACTCCAAAGGACTCCGAGATCGATAAAGAGAGGAAAATAGAGATATAGGCAGGAAGACAAACAGAGAGAAAGCTCAGGTACCAGTTGCTTCGCAACCAGTTGCTCCTCTCCGAGAGTATCCGCGGTCGCGATCGAGGCTACGCCGAAAACGATCTCATCCCCTACTGTGTCCAAGAGGACACTGCCAACTCCTACACAGACAGACCGACAAACAGACAGAGTCGGACAACCGACAAACGCAAGTGAGAACAACGCGCGAGAGCGTCGCGCTTGATCCCGAAGCTCAAGCTCTGCTTCCATCTATCCTCGTGGGGGCGCATCGCCACGCCTCCCGCGTCTATATAAACTCCACTACCACGGGGAAACCCTCACTCGCACCCCAGTGGTACCCGGTGGTAGTCGAGGGTGGCATTGCTTGCCGAGCGCAGGACGTGCAGGAGCTTTCTCTCTGTCCGTTTGCCGTCTCTTGTCTCCCGCCGCTCTCCCGTCGAGGACCTTCCACCTTCGCACCTGTCGCCGGTTCTGTGGAACACGGACGAGTGAGCCAAGGCATGAGGTCCTGCTTGCTGTGGTTGTCCCTCCTGTTGGTCGTCCTGGCTGACAGGAGCCTTGCCAGTCCTTACTTCGACGAGGGTAAGTTCGCGGATCCCGAGATCATTCCTTTTTCTCGTTTCTCGAGTGTTGATCAGCCGTTGCCGTGGCTTTTCCGCGACGCGATGTTCCGAGAGAACGAGGTCCCGCAGGATCACGAGGGAGAGATCTCGTCCTGATGATTCAGGAAACGTTCTCAGGGCGCTCACGACGGCCCGCCGTCAATCGGTTTCGCGTCTTCGCCGGCTCGCGGCCGCGGTTGTACGCGGGGTTGTTTCACTCGTGCTTGGGAAATTTCGCACGTTCATGAGCAACGTTGTGCGGACGCGACGCATTTTGCGTGCTGTGCGGATGCCGGCTCGGCGAGTGGCTCGGGAGTCCCATTCGCGCGGTTGTGGTACGCGGATGTCTCTTCGTCGCGCGCGATAATCACGATATTCCCCGTTAAAACGGCGCATCAGTGTGTACGCACTGCGCAAAACTCGGGAAGAGAGGACACCCAAGGCTCGCCCTTGACGCCAAATGAAAATTAAAGGGGTTGCTCTTACGCAACCCGTGTTAAAAATCCCGACTCGGTCCCCTACGGGTCGACCCCGGCGCGACCGAGGGACAGGAAGTTCTTTTCGCGTGCAACATACTCTGGATTATTATATAGAAAGTTGGTAACTTTGATTTTTATATAGAAAGATATTATATAGAAAGTTATTTAATTTTGATTTTTTTCTATTACCAAGTTAAATGTGGATAAAAGAAGGAGAAGAAAATGATTGTGCCGCGTTTCTGTATTTTCCAAAAGATTTTTTTTCATTTTTGTTTTTCTCTCATTTTTTTTTAGACGTTGTTGCAGTGTGCAATATATCGCGGCAATAAAAATAGTTCGTGCCTTGCGCAACACATTGTTGACATTGCACATTTTTTGCGCGCTTCTCCGTTTCTAGAGAATCTAAATAATTTCGCGCGCTGATTTAAATCGCGCGTCCTCTCCCTCTCTTTCTCTTTCGAATTAAAAATCCGTGCTTTCGTTCAAGCACGCGTGAAATTCTCTATTAAATTTAGACCATGGTGGATAACGTTCCCTCCATGAAAGGACTTTCCCGTACATAAGCGCGCGATATATGCATATATTATTCTTAAATAAAAATTTCAATATCAGCACACAATGACGAGGACGGCAGCATTGGACCAATGAAGTTTCCCGATTGTTAAAATGCGCCGCGTACCATGGGGAAAGTTTCATTGAAACTAATATCTGCTCCACTCGACTTGAGATTGCTTTAAAATCTCGTTGAACGCACTCCGACGGTATCGATTTTCTTCTCTCGCGTCTTCTACAAACTGAGTCTCTCTCTCTCTCTCTCTTGCTCTAATTTATCTCGAATCATACCGGTAAACGAGAATTATCAATAACGACGAATAAATTTCTTCCGCGAGGCGCACAACAAGCCTCTCGAAAGTTGGCAAACTCTTTGATTAGTGTATCATAATGTATTTAACGTTACCGGAATTAACTGGCAAGACTTTGAGGAAGGAAAGGCTTGAAATTCGCGAACTCTATCGCTTTGCTCGCTGACGCGTTGTAATATCTCGAAATTCGCGCTTAAAGCTGGTAAACCGTTTTCATATTTCATTCACAATCGTGTACTCAACTTAAGAAACCTTTAATTATTAAGAAGGGAAACAGAATATGAGATAGAGGAAGATAGATAGATAGATAGATAGATAGATAGAGAGAGAGAGAGAGAGAGAGAGAGAGAGAGAGAGAGAAATAGATAGAGAAAGAGAGAGAGAATTATCATCAGATGTCGCGTGTATGTAATTGAGTGCGATTCGCGTAACGATGCATGCGTATATAATAGAGGCTATTAGAGAAAGCTAAACAAAAGTATCTCGAGAGAACAGAACAATGGGCAAGAGTTTTTATAGAGGAAGAAAGAAAGAGGGAGAGAGAAGAAATTATTGTTGTCAGATATCGCGTGCGCGATTGAGTGTGGTCGCATAACGCTATATGTGTATTTATCGGCAATATAAATCTATTGAAAGCTAAATAAAAATATCTCGAGAGCGCGGGATAATAAGCAAACGTTTTTATATAAAGGGAGGAAGAGGGAAGAGGGAGAAAAAGAGAGGAAGGCACAATTATTCCATATATCTCCAAACATCGCGTGCGTGTAGTCGAATGCGATTCGCGCAACGATACGCAGAGACAACATTATAATTCTCTCTTTTCATATGAATTCTCTTCAATTTTACCATGTTTCTAGTAATGCAAGAACAAACCATCAGTAAGATCTCCATCTTGCCAAGGAACATATTGAATTTTGCTAGAAACATAGCATGTGTTTAAATGGATACACATATCACACAGTTTCTAGAATGTAAAAAGCACATGTGTGGAGCATAAAAGAATAATAAATTAACGCAGAACGTTAATCTGTTCCTTTCGCTTGCGAAATTCTACAATAATTTTTACCACACACGTGCCAGAAGCAAATTTACTAGGAGCTTTACCGGGAGTCAAATAGTAGATTCGAATTCTCTCTCTATTTTCCACCATCTCATATTCTGTTTCCCTTGTTAACAACTGAAAGTCCCTTAAGCTAATTACGCGGTCGTGAATAATATCTCGTGAGAAGGCGGCGGGACGATAGGCAAGAGTTTTTGTCGAGGGCGAGACTCGACTCGACGTGAGGGAGAATTTCGGCGGATTTTTATGTCGGGACGGATCGCGGCAAACGCCGCGAGTGATTTCGGTCAATGCATGGTCGGACAAGCGGACGATTAGAGTCGCCGCATTTAGTTAAACAGCCACACTCGCACGCAGCTCGAAATTGCAAAATCCGCGGAGATAACAATGGAAACATCATTGCACCGTCTGCATAGCCGGGATTAAAGCCGAGGTCTCGTTATCACTTGCGAAACGAATTAATCGCATACCGTAGTCGAACAATGTGCGCTAAACAATACGCTGACAGCGCGCACTCAAGTGAAGCCAGAAGCTGGACGCGTGCGAATTTGGCTTTTTATTCGACGCGCAACGTCACACCGTCGGATATATTCTGTGAAACGAATCGCCATGCGTTGACGTGGCGTTAACTTTTTCGTGATACGCGCTACAACTGCGTCCGGCATATCGATTCATCGGCGCTCCCTTGCCTCCCCCTTGCTTCCCGGTCGTTTCTGTAAACCGAATGTTTAATTGACGCGTTTATTTGCAGGTTCATACATATGTAGTCAAATAATGATTGAGTCGTGCGCCGGCACTGTGGGAAAATATTTTACTAATTTAACAAAATTCCAGTATCCGCAACAACCGGTTTGTCGGTATGGTGTATTCACCGAATAGATATTATCTTTATTCCTTGGATATTTCTTCTCTCGACGTATTGCCAGCGACAGAAAGGAGATCGATCGAAGTTGCCAAGCAGTTCATCCGTTGCTTCTCGAGCAAAATTCGTCAAAAGTCAAGTAAACTTTCAATTGCGACTGTATGCGAGCGATTGAAAAAGAACTCAACGTCGGGACGTGAAAATTTGGCGCGTGTTATATTAAGATTCTCTCTCTGTCGCAGAATCAACGATGTCGGATCAATAATATGTCGCGTTCTCTCTTCGTTGCGTCGACGAATATTCCCGTCAATTTGATCGACGCCTCTGTCCTGTAGCGAGCACGACGCTATTTCAGACACAATTCAGGTCCAGTTAACGCGGCGAATCGTCGAGCATTAGTTCGCTCTGCTCAGCAGAGGATGATATGGCAAATCATGATGATGATTGTGTAAGAAACAGTCAGCGCTAATGAAACCGTAATCGACTTCGAGCGGGTCATCAGATTAGCGAATTAATTATGTCCACGTTTGATTGTATTCCTTTCGCGGTACGTTGGAATTGTTAATCGATTTCTCGATGTCGCGCAAGGTCGGCCGGGCAAGAAGTCGTTCTTGTGTTTTCTCTATTCTATTCTCTCGAGTTGCTCTCGCAATTCTCGCTTCGATTTTCCGCGCTCCCACATCTCCCGCATCTGCGAATTCGCTAAAGCGAAACAGATCGCCGGATGTTACTTCTGTGAAAATGTTTTTCATAATATTTTATATATTTTACATAATATATTTTACATATCGAGCACCGGTCGGACACGAAAATGTCGCATAATAAATGGATCACTGCGTCGCGAGCACAAACGCGAAAATTATGCATTTTCCTCGGTCGACAGCAAAATAACGGTATTATCTCGCAAACCATAAACTAAAATTTATTCCTCTGTGTTATTCGCCATATTTTATTATCTACCTCGTCAACCGGCGCAATAATATAAAACCTCTGATAGCAACAGCGGAAGAAATACGCGGGTTACGTGCCCTTCGATAGCAAACAGGCGTATTCTTCAGGATTGCAGAACAACAAGCGGAACGTCAGTGGAATTTCAAACAAACGATGGCGATTTGTATATACGACGCGTCTTTCTATCTCCCCCTTCCCCCCTGACCCATCCCTCGTGTTAGTATGCGACTTAAATCTTTGCGATGACGACGATATTGAGGATCGAGATGAGGGAGGATCACATGATTCGATTCCCCGACAGATTCGGGACTTGAAGCAATTCTCTTTGCTGCTAAAATGGACTTTGCTGACTAAACGATACGGAGATGAGTTTTAGGCGCACGGAAAGGAAAGTTAACTGCGACGGCAACAATCGGTGTGTGATTGGTTGAATTAGTTAAATCTCTCTCTGCAACACATAGATACATTGAGAAAAAATATCTAAAAATTAACAAATATTTATTAGATGAATACTATCAACATATTTACTTAAATCAAAATTTTCTTCATTTACCGAGTATTGTTTACGTGATTTAAGTAAATAAAACTCGATAATTAATTTTAAGTATTTAATCATGTTGTGAGACTTGTTATGAGACTATTATAATATCAAAATAAAATTATAATATCATCAAAATTCAATTTATTTATAAAATTCTTTTAACAAAATTATCATTACTTACACATGAAACAATGATCCTTAATTTGAATATATTAATTTTAAATAAACACAATTTGTTTTGCCTACCAATATATATTTAATAAAATATAATTAAATATATCATAAAACTATTTTGTAAATAATAATTTTATAAATAATATTTTGTAAATAATAAGTAAATAATATGATAAGATAAAGTGGCGGAGAGTTTTGCAATGAGAGAAACTCTGCGATAAATTTATGAAATTCCCGACTACTCGTCGCGTGAAATTTGAAGGAATTTATTTTGGGAAGACAGACGACTCAATTTTAATTTATAAAAGCGGGCATTATTGCGAAATTAATATTACGTCTGTACAAATCTCATGCAACGTTACCGTCATGTTAATGGCTAATAAAAGAATGATATTGACCATGAACGCGGGTAATTTTACGATTTCCTGGCGCAGAGCACACCGTAAGAATATTGAAATATCCACGGCATCCCCAGGGTATTCGCGTAAAGGCGGAGAAACTGGAACAGTGGGGCGCGGTGAACGAAAGGGTGACGGTCCTTAGATTACCTTAATCCCGCAGGTCGCTGATGGGAATGTCGACGAGGGGGAAAATGAAAGTAGAAGAAGAATAGCAGATTGCTGTTGTGCGTTTTACGCTACGATTCAGCGAGGCCGATTTCGTTAGGATTATCTCGCGACGATTAATCTACTCGCGGCCGATTGTTCGTTTTCTTTATCTGGTCTCTGTTACGCTATATCTCATTTATCGGCGCGCAAGGTTTGCCCGATTCAATCAGACAGCTGTAATTTAATTCACTACGGTTACTTGTATCGCTACGTTTTCATTTCCCCTTGCCGCGATTGAAATCTTTTCGGAAGAAATATTGGCGGATCGGAAATATTCGAGGCGGACTTGTGGAAATTACTATCTTTCTACGGACTCAATGAAGGAAAATTAGGATGAAGTTTATAAAGCGAGAAGTTTATAAAGCGTGCACACGGAGAAAATATTGTAGTGAAAGTTTTCGTGCTCTGATCGACTATATATTTGTTAAGGCTCCTGGCCCCTCGCATTGTCTGTCTCTTTTTAATGACATCAGAAGCGAGAAAATGCATGCTAAAAATTCTTGCGAAATACATTGAAATAAAAATATATATCCATAAAGTAACACTTGCAATCGATTAAACAAATTTGTAAGATATTCTGTGCACTCCCCTTTTGCTCTAACAATCAATAATTTATTGTAAATTAATCTGAATAGAAATAGGCGAAGAAATAGGTTAAGAAGATGAATTGTATGTCACGTTAATTTACGACAAATTTCTGATTGTTAGAACAAAAGAGGAGTGCACAGAATATCTTACAAATTTGTTTAATCGATTGCAAGTGTTACTTTATAGATATATATTTTTATTTTAACGTATTTCGCAAGAATTTTTAGCATGTATTTTCTCGTTATTAAAAAGAGATAGACAATACGAGGAGCCTTAAAAAGTGTTATATACATGTTTAGCTTTTTGCTACCAAGCAAACTTATTGTTTTTTCAGAACCAGCAGTTTTGTACATATACTTGATTTGTATATCGTGTCTCATTCGCAATTATTTTCTATTTATTTTACTTCTTTCTGCCAGACTATACGCGAGAGTATGAACGATATATTGCGTTAAGTTCACCTGTGGACACTTGGAGAACATTAATTTTCCGGGAAGAAAAAGAAAAACGAACATTTCATTTTATCTGGTCTGACGCAATGCGCTGTTCTACCTACTTCTTCGCGGTGGCGGTAAATCTACCTCATGCAAGTTTCAAGAGATGTGTAACGAAATTTGTGATAATTATCTTAATGGACCCTAGACACAATTTTCTTTCACGCGGGACTACGCCGTAATAAAAACAAAGCAACGCGTTAATAAAAACGCCGACGAGATTGTTAAATATGGATTCCTTGGTTTACATTACACGTCTCGAAGTTAGTTTAGCGCTTTAAAACAGTTTTCAAACCCTGCCGCTACTGAGAGATAAAAAAGGGTGATTTAACTAAAATTATAACTGTTTTTGGCCCGACAGTTTCTACTAGCCTTGACTCGCGAAATGTCGTTCATACGAAGCTCACACAGGAACTTTGTTGTATTCCGAGATATCGTACCGTTCGAGATCGCATGAAATCATTCAGACAATTTTTCATTACAAATCAGGACAAAAATTTTGTTTTGCCGAAAGAGACGACGCGGAAGATATTCGCTTCGATGGTCGAATCAACGAAACGTCGCGTAGCACGTAGAGTTCGTAGTGTCTTTGTTTACATCGCGTTAAGGGTGCATACGGAGAACGCTCTTCTATTTTTATTCTCTTCTCCTCTTCGGCGAGGTGTGCCCTTTAATCTTTCATGAGCATGGATCACGCAAGTGTTTCCGGTCCGAAGCCGTCGTTAGCGATACGTGATGCGAATTACTCGTATGAAAATTTTCCAGACCGAACGAGAAATCAATAAATCAAGAAATAAATTAAAAATTAATGAGCCATTTTTTCTCGAGCAGCTGTTGATTCAGGTTTCCCACGCTTAAACACATCTCCCGGTCGATTATCTATCTTTAACCGTTGGTCTTCGCTTTGGTCGGCCAACTTTTCTTTTTTGTGTCTGGTGTATACTTACAAATAAATAATTTAGAAAGAAATAGGGAGATAGCATATATGATATAAAAAAACATTCGAATAATTACGATAATTCTGTGACAATAAGTCAAACTCGTTCACAGCACTTTTAATCAAACATAATCTCGGTCATAATTCCGCATGATCCAAGATTGCAAGGAATTCGGTTGCAATTTTTACTGTGACGTTTTCTCCGTTAGCGAATTGAGCCGCTAATCGCGAGCGGAGAGTCGGGCGAAACGAAACGGACAAAAATTCATGGATCGTACTAGAATAAAGCGTTCGTTTTACTTTTGCAGAAGACGACGGTCTCCAAGCTGGCGGCGACTCGGATTATACAGACAACGCTCTGGAGAATCTGATGCGCGCAGCGCAGCAGAAGTGAGTGGATTATCTTACTTGTCAATCCCCGGCTTCATTCTCCCCGCCTTTACTGCTCTCCTCAACGAGATCTCCTCCGCGGAAAATACGCGCTCTCCTGCGTCTCTCTCTGCCGTGATTCCTTTTCCGCCGGCCACTTGATTTGACGCAGGATACATTTCACGGACGTCGCGAGGACGATACGGAAGAGCGCGCGCTATCTGAACACTTCACCAGCGAGAGAGCGGGGGAAGATCAGGACGTGATTTTCCGTCTTCCGCCGACGAGACGTTGCGAAACGATGCGTTATCGTCACCGGGTCAAACAAACAAGCAAATGGAATGTCGAATCCAATGACGTATATACATAGACCAAGCATTTCTATACCTCTGTTGTAGCAGCGAGTGAAGCCGGAAGTTGGCAGTTTAAAACAGAATGAGAAAGTTGATTTGCCCCTAGTGCTTTCTTATTCTATAGAAAGAATATGGCCGCTGTCAAGTGCTATATACAGGGTGTCCCGCGTAAGACGTATAAAAAGAAAAATATAAGTAGAACACATAAAAGTGAACAAAAATTGTATAAGTCATTTTTCAAACAACCACGTAAAATTTCGAGATATTAATTAAAATAGTTGGGCATATCAGAGCGCGGCGACGCGGCAGGCGGGACATACGACTCGCCGCGGCCGGCGAAAAAAATAGACGATTGCTCGCGGACCTATCTTATAAGCCAGAGAGGTGGACGTTTGGCATACTGAAATGAGTAGCTCCGTGTGTGCGTTCGTGTACGTGTGCGTTCTTCCATTTTTTTTTTGCCGGCCGCGGCGAGCCATATGTCCCGCCTGCCGCGTCGCCGCGCTCTGATATGCTCAACTATTTTAATTAATATCTCGAAATTTTACGTGGTTGATTGAAAAATGACCTATACAATTTTTGTTCACTTTTATGTGTTCTACTTATATTTTTCTTTTCGTACGTCTTACCCTGTATAATGCAGTGCAGAATTAAAAGAATAAAACCGTATATTTTACTTATCTCGATATAAAATTGATATTCATAATATTTTATGCTGTGTATAAATAATCACAGCAATTACTCTTATCTTGTTCTCATTTTACTTTCACATGAAAAAGGTTAGGTTAGGTTGCTATGATGAGATACAGTTCTTAGATAAGGTTTAGTGCTGTAGATAGTTCCATTTAGTGCTGACGAATTCAGAGTGACGAAAATTCAGAGTGATAAAAATGGACGATTGCTCGCGGACCTATCTTATAAGCCAGAAAGGTGGACGTTTGGCATACTGAAATGAGTAGCTCCGTGTGTGCGTTCGTGTACGTGTGCGTTCTTCCATTTTTTTTTGCCGGCCGCGGCGAGCCATATGTCCTGCCTGCCGCGTCGCCGCGCTCTGATATGCTCAACTATTTTAATTAATATCTCGAAATTTTACGTGGTTGATTGAAAAATGACCTATACAATTTTTGTTCACTTTTATGTGTTCTACTTATATTTTTCTTTTCGTACGTCTTACCCTGTATAATGCAGTGCAGAATTAAAAGAATAAAACCGTATATTTTACTTATCTCGATATAAAATTGATATTCATAATATTTTATGCTGTGTATAAATAATCACAGCAATTGTTCTTATCTTGTTCTCATTTTACTGTCACATGAAAAAGGTTAGGTTAGGTTGCTATGATGAGATACAGTTCTTAGATAAGGTTTAGTGCTGTAAATAGTTCCATTTAGTGCTGACGAATTCAGAGTGACGAAAATTCAGAGTGATAAAAATGGACGATTGCTCGCGGACCTATCTTATAGGCCAGAAAGGTGGACGTTTGGCATACTGAAATGAGTAGCTCCGTGTGTGCGTTCGTGTACGTGTGCGTTCTTCCATTTTTTTTTCGCCGGCCGCGGCGAGCCATATGTCCCGCCTGCCGCGTCGCCGCGCTCTGATATGCTCAACTATTTTAATTAATATCTCGAAATTTTACGTGGTTGATTGAAAAATGACCTATACAATTTTTGTTCACTTTTATGTGTTCTACTTATATTTTTCTTTTCGTACGTCTTACCCTGTATAATGCAGTGCAGAATTAAAAGAATAAAACCGTATATTTTACTTATCTCGATATAAAATTGATATTCATAATATTTTATGCTGTGTATAAATAATCACAGCAATTGTTCTTATCTTGTTCTCATTTTACTGTCACATGAAAAAGGTTAGGTTAGGTTGCTATGATGAGATACAGTTCTTAGATAAGGTTTAGTGCTGTAAATAGTTCCATTTAGTGCTGACGAATTCAGAGTGACGAAAATTCAGAGTGATAAAAATGGACGATTGCTCGCGGACCTATCTTATAGGCCAGAAAGGTGGACGTTTGGCATACTGAAATGAGTAGCTCCGTGTGTGCGTTCGTGTACGTGTGCGTTCTTCCATTTTTTTTTCGCCGGCCGCGGCGAGCCATATGTCCCGCCTGCCGCGTCGCCGCGCTCTGATATGCTCAACTATTTTAATTAATATCTCGAAATTTTACGTGGTTGATTGAAAAATGACCTATACAATTTTTGTTCACTTTTATGTGTTCTACTTATATTTTTCTTTTCGTACGTCTTACCCTGTATAATGCAGTGCAGAATTAAAAGAATAAAACCGTATATTTTACTTATCTCGATATAAAATTGATATTCATAATATTTTATGCTGTGTATAAATAATCACAGCAATTGCTCTTATCCTGTTCTCATTTTACTGTCATATGAAAAAGGTTAGGTTGCTATGACGGGATACAGTTCTTAGATAAGGTTTAGTGCTGTAAATAGTTCCACTTAGTGCTGACGAATTCAGAGTGACGAATGGATCAATCACATTGCTTTATTTAACGTTTTAAAGTATTTACAGTGTTCAACGAACCCTCCTTCTTGACAGTCAATAATATAGAGTGAGAAAGCACTAGGAGCAAATCAACTTTCTCACTCTGTTTTAAACTGCCAACTTCCGGCTTCACTTTGCGGACAGAATGCTTGGTCTATATATATACGTCATTGGTCGAATCTGGCATAATAGGAATTTGAGCTGAAGCACCTGCTGAATAAGCAGAATAAAACGGAAGGATACGCTTCAAAGAGCGCCTCTCGCGCGCAATCCTCGTTCGCAACGTCAAACGGCGAAACTGGCGAGATCGCGGTGACGTTCTTTTTTTGTTTTTGCCTTCTTTCCAAACGCGCGCGCTGGAGATGAAAGGTCCAACTTGTTTTTTATTCATGCAATCCGCGACACTTTCGACGATGCTGAAATTGTGATATAAATTACTGCACAGAGACAGTAAATCTAACGTGTCGAGTATACGATATTGAAAACATTCAGGTACTATAATTTTGGAATCATTATTTTTGCCAATATAAGAGATTTGGGTAGGACCGCATGTATACAATTATGTGCACTGGGCCTTTTAAAGAGATAAACAGACATGCAATAATTTCGCTAATAATATTGTATGGTCTTAGAATACAAAACTTTTGTTGTAACTTTTACTACTCTCGTTTTCTCCGTGTACACAAAATAGTTTTGACGCATTTCAATCACTAAAGCTACAGCGCTCCAACATGTCAAAATTGAGAGACACTACTGACGCATTTGCATATGAACCGGTTATGACAGGAGCCGAAGTGACAGTACAGGATGTATTAATACGTTCTATGCAAGGTCGATTTTCGGTGACTTTCCGTTCACGCCGCGTGAGTCGTATGCTCTCCACGTTATGGAGACTAATAGTTTCGCTTATGATATATGCTTTATAATATTTATAAGATTAATTATCAAGAAAAAGAGTTTAAGATGCATTACAGAACAAAACAAACATTTGTGTCTTAACAAATTATTATCGTAATGCATAGTTTAACACGTTCCCTACTATGCGCGAGTCGTGTGCGTAACATTTTTTAATGATGTTAAAATTAACTTTAAATAAAACATTTTATTTAGATATTGTTAATATTATTGTTTGTGTTATATATTTTTTTATAGTCACATATTGTTTCGATTGAAACATGGTAAACATAAATGTAGCTTGTCAGAACAATCATAATAGAATGTCAGTACTTTTATAGTACGATTTCTTGCTGCTTGCATATCCAACTTTTCAACATTATTTTTATAAAAAAAAGAGAAAAAAGAAAGTCGAAAAAACAGATCGCTACGCCGCAGTGTGCCAAAAAACACATTTAGTGGGCAAAATTCTGCCTACACCACAAATCTGCATCGATTTTGATGAAACTTTTTTTAAAATACTCGTGAATAGTTCTACTATAATGTCTCACTGCTAAAAATTTTGCTTTTTGGCACACTGTGCACCGCGTGGACGACCCACAGTATGATAAATGTACTATACTGCGATATTTAGACAACAATATATGATTTTACAAAGTATTTTATGAAAAATTCTCATTTAATAGCGAAAATTTCAAATGGCTTGAACGTTTAGAGTGGGGCGCACGTACACGGAGAAAAATAACTTGCTGGCCTGGCAAATTTTCTGCTGGTCTAGCAAAATCTTTTCGTTATTATATGGACAGCAAAAAGATTTACTAAGAGTACTAATCATTATTTGCTGAATCTACAAATTATTTTGCTATAAGAACCATGATGGATTTATATAAGTAGTTGCAGTTTTGCTCCGACAGCAAATAAATTTGCTGAGGATACATTATTTTGCATCAATAGCAAATTAAGTAATTCTTAGGACAAATACACTCAATAAATTTTTTCTATTCTGGCGACGAAACTACTTTTGCTCTGATAACGAATAATTTGTAAAATTAGTTACGTCAACTAAATTTTTTTGCTGTCACTACGAATATGCAGTAGCAACGACGATTTTGCTAAAAGAGCAAAATTATTTTTCTCCGTGTGACCCATGCGACATGGGTTAACGTGTTGACATCCCGACTAGTCATTTATTCGAATATTTGAAAGCTCCACTCTCAATGTTGACATCTTGAAGCGCTGCAACTTCAGTGCTCGAAATGCGTCCAAATCGTTTTGCGACTCAGTGTACACACTTTCGGGAGAAGGATGTGCATGTGTGTGTGTGTAAGCACGAAGAGCACGCGCGAGAACGAATTCCTCGAGTCGACGTCACGGTCAGTGTCTTCCAGCCTCACTCCTCTGCGATGTCTCGATGTCTCGAAAAGGCATTCTCTCGATTTCCCTAATCTCGAGTAGACGTACCTCGTTGATATACTTGTTTAGACGGGCCTGCATAAGACGCGGCGGCAACTGCGACCACCGGCCGAAGGACTGCTGCTACAGCTCCAGCTGCCGCTGCAACCTCTGGGGCTCCAATTGCCAGTGCCAACGGATGGGTCTCTTCCAGAAGTGGGGCTAAAGTATCTATCCCCGGCCCAACCCTCCCGCCGCCTATGCCTCCTTCCTTGGTCTTTCCATCTTTGCACCTCGATTGTTGTTTTTTTCCTCCTCTCGTTTTCCCTTCTTGTTCTATCATTCCCCGGGAGCGACTGTCCTCTGACGATGTCCTTCCTCGAGCATACGAATGTTCCTTCCGTATAACTTCACCCAACCGGTGCATCAGTCCCGTGGACATATTTCCGACGACGTCTTCAACGCTTGCGATTTGCATTCTCGACTTAAGACAATGGCCTCGATGATAATACGCTTCGATAATCTCCTCTTCCGCGCGTTTTAGATCCTCTCGATAGAAAGAGAGAGAGAGAGAGAGAGAAAAAAAGAGAGTAAGAGAGAAGAAGAAGGTATACTCTACTATTTGATTATTGCCGATTGTTTATGAAGCGAGAGAAACTCGTTTGAGAAACGTCGACGTTCGGAAAAAATCCCTCTACGATTTCTTTTTCTCTCCGCTTGTGAAGATCTCTTTTCTTTTCCGGCCTCTCGACGCGATCTTTCACGACTACCTCTCTCGCGATATTCGATACCCCAGGATCCGCTGCACCGACCATCTCGGTTAGTGCCCGGCTGACGAATCCTCGTCCCTTCCTGGGTCCCGTGGCTCCGGTTACGGAATGGCAGGAGATGAGAGGAAGTGCGGCCGATTAGCGATTACCGACCTCGGTGCAGCGTGCGATCCTCGCGCCGATTGAGCTGCGATTTCCCGGTGGGAATTGCTCGATCCTCTATTCGTTCGGATCAGTTTCGGTTGATTTTTTTCCCCGAGACACCGTCTTCCCCGAACGCCCTCTCGACTTCTCCTCCCGTCGTCGTTTCGCCCCCGTCGGTGAAGATCGTCGTTGAGCCGGGAGAGCCGAGGAGACGGCGAGCGCAGCGGACCTCGCGAAGGACCTCGGATTCGGGACCGATCGCTCCCTCGTTGCGACGGCTGGCTCGGGGATTTTGCAGATGAGACGTGCGAAGAATGCGACCGTGAAGAGACGTATCGTCGCCATTTCTCTACTTCCACGCTCGGCGCGCCTTTTCCGCGCGCCACGTTCTACCACGTAAACGAAAGCCTCGGGACCGACAGAAAGTAAGTTCTCCGTAAAGTATGTAACGGTGCTCGGCGACCACGAGGTCCCCTCCGTCTGATTCCTCCGAGTGAGTTCAGATAGTACGTGTGAAATATATGTGAATGTGCAATAAAAGCCACGCGTTTACTTCACAACGGCGACATTCTCTCCTCGGAGAATTCGTCATCCGATTTACCGCCTCCCTCCCTCCCTTCCTTCTTCCTGGACACGTTATAAAACTGGAAATTCTGAAACCGATGATATTGATAAAGCATTGTATAGGTGGCGAGAGAATTGTATCAACGAGAACTTTTCGAATGCGAGATCGCACTCCATTCTCGCGCGTCGCATTTTGCCGCCTCCCTTCGACGACTTCGCCGCGCACCTCCAGCAGTCTTTATCTCCAGAGAATCGCAGCTCGACTTCTGTCCGTAGAATAATAATAATAATAATGTCAAGTATCTCTCGTTCTTCCGTGGAGAAGAAACGCGACTCTCCCCGACGAGTCGAGCTCGATTCTCCGCGCACTTCGGCGCTTCGCAGTCCTCCTGCGCGACGGCACGGAAAATTGGCACATTTGGGACGCGCGCGGACAAATTTTCGGAAATTACCGTCCTCTGATTGGAGATACCTCTCTCCGGCCACTTTCGCTAATCAGATCGCCGGTAGATTCCTCTCGACTCGTCAGCCCGTCGAGGACGATTGCGAACAAGTCGATAGAACAATTGAGATCGGTGCGAAGAGAGAAAGAGAGAGAGAGAGAGGGGGGGGAGAAAGATTTCTCTCCCAGTTCTCTGAAGACGAACACGGCGAAATATGTACGCGGAGTAAGAGAATATGAAATTATACGTGTATAGTCGCCGATTAATCAATAGTTGTTATGTGTTTGCGGCGAATTATATTTAAACACAAGGGAAATATATCTTGACGCGGTATACACACACACACACACACACACACGTATACGCACGTACACACACAAATATATATAGACACAGCCCGTAATCTACATTTCTCCGTACAAGTTCTTAAATTTTAAACGTATATATACCTACATATACGCATACGAATTATAAAATAATACTACAATAATAGATGTTATACATTGTATCCGAAGGTGGATGTACACGTACCGATGTATCATGGAAATATATGTATATATATACATATATATATAATATATCATATATGTATATATACATACGGAGAGAGAGTACTCTTTTGTCGCGCGACGAAACCAACGTCCAACGTTTTAACGTTCTAATTTATTTTCAATTGTTCGGGCACAATGCGACCTCCTCAACCAACTCCTTCCGAGTTTGCTAAGTGCATTAATTAATGCGCTTCCGATTTAACTCCTTTAGTAATTATTCAAAGTGACAGTTTTCTCCTTTCTTTAAATAAGCCTACCTAGATTCTTTTCCTTATTGATATTTTCTTCGAATAATTTCGAAAAATACATCTGATTTGTACTTGCTATGAGTTAAAAGAATACAATAAGTTTAAGTAAATAAAAAAAAATTTAATATTTCATCAAGGAACCTTTCTAGGGCAATACCCTTGAGGGATTCTCTTTTTTTATTACTATTTTCCTCGAAGAGAGAATTTTGGAAAATAGAATACAAAATATATTTAATTTGAGTTTTTTGAGTTAAAAAGAAATAAATTAGTTTAAGTAAACAAAAACTAATTTAATATTTCAACTTTTCCGGACATATCACTTATATAAAGGGTTCTTTTCTCCTTATTTTACTCGAAGAATTTTGAAAAGAATGGAATAAGAATATACCTTTTCTTCCTGTATCTAATTTGTGTAATTGCTA